CCCCGGCAACCCCTATGAGAAGCGAAAAGGAATTTTATAGCTGAATTGGCCCAAATAACAATGTTTAGCACAGCCTCATATTGTGTCCCAACCCTAATTCAATTATCCAAATATTCTTTCATGATATTAATGAAATGTAAACAATTTTACTACAAAATTATTATTTTTATTTAACGCATATTTTACTTATAATTATATATGAACTTTATAATACATAAAATTGTATTGATTAGAGCTAAAATAAATTATTTATTTTAATATTAAGAAACATTAAATGTTTGGCTAAGTTTAGAGCAATTAGAGCAATTAAATTTTTTAGTTTTAAAATATTTTCATTTATAACTTATTCATACTCATAAGAAAGAAACCTATTTTGACCATGAATTAATGTTACTTCAAAACAAGTAACTTACTTTATATTTAATGTTATAATAAAAAAATATTTATAAGAACTTATTTATTTATAAATAATAAGATTATATGTATATTATAGAAGCTAAATCAAATATGGATAAAATTCTAAAGTGTTTTTTTAATTTTTGATTGGTGGATATATATCATTTGCCTACATTTATCATGCTTCTATCAATTTATATTTTCTAAGGTGAGCGTCGATTTCGTATTTCACAAGAAAAATACGAATATCTATTGAGACATCGATATTAGAGTGAGAATCTAGATTTGTATTTCATTAGGTGTCTAATAATATTTGTCATGAATGTAATGAGGATAATCTCCTAAACTCGATCAATTGTAACAAATTTATTTAAAATGTTTTAATTTTAGTCCACTTCAAATTCATTTCTTGGCTCCGTCCCTGTATGTATGAGTATGCTCATTAAATATTAAAATGTTAATGTTTGCCATATTTGTATTTTCTTTATTTTTCACACACGTATACTTATCTCAACCACGAAATTACTTCTACACATCTAATAAAACTTTCACTACTAAACATCATCTTCTTAGTTTGAACTAGGGTTAGAGGTGTGTAGAAGTTATAAATATTGTAAGCATATAAGTTTGATCTTTTTCATCTTCATTATTTTATTCTTTTATAAAAATAGGGTCAAGGTGTTATCAACATCTTCTTTGTTTAATTTAAGAGGAAATATAACTTTCATTAAATGTTGAAAATACATAAATATATCTATTAAACAATGTGCAAAAAATTCAATATGAAAATATTTTTCAAATAAAATTTTGACAATTATTTTTTCTAAAAAATTTACTTGGCGATCCCATAAGTATCATTCGAACAATCTTTAACGTGTCCAAATGACCTGTTCTCATTTGAAAGGTGTTGTAAGAGTGTGTATTTTGAAAACACTTAGTAAGAATACGTACACATTCTTATTCACATGATATAAATATAAAACTGACATAACATACCAACATTTCTTAAATTTAGAGCTCCAGAAAGTTTTTAAAAATTCTCATATCCAGTAGGATTTAACATTTTTGACCTAACGGTCCATCCCGAAAGATTTAACATAGAATTCAACCCGAAGGCCTCATAGCATTTTATGCCAAAAATTATACAAACATCAAGGAATAAGAATTTACCACTTTGCAAGATGTATTCTTCCCTCAATTAACACCCAGAATTCTTAAAAAAAAAAAAAAAAAAAAAAAAAAGGTGATTTGAAATGATAAAGTGAAAGTGAATAGTGTTTGTGTGTTAAAATAAAAATGAACTTATGAAATTTATAACACAAAACACTATCACCTCACATCCTATATATAATCATTCGGACGTAACCTTCAAGGAATTCAAAAAGTTAGTTACATAATTCAAAATTAATGAGGTTACTTATGACTTAATTATGTTAATTATTTTGGTAATTATGTTAAATATCTTTTCAAATTCCTACGTGAAAGTTCGTTTCTTTTTTCTTTGTTTATGCTTATGGGATAGCCAAGTAAATTTTTTAGAAAAAATAATTGTCAAACTTTTATTTGAAGAACATCTTCATGTTGAATTTTTTGCACATTGTTTAATGGCTATTTTTATGCATTTTCAACACTTAATGAAAGTGATATTTCCGCTTAAATTAAACAAAGAAGATGTTAATAATACTTCGAGCCCCTTTTTATAAAAGATTAAAATAATAAAGATGAAAATGAAAATGATTTTAGAGTGTTACAAATACAGTGTGTGACTTTCTCTTGTAAATTTATTTTCATCATACTGAATTATTGTAGCGACAGACGAGGATGTAGTCTCACATTGAGACGAACCTCTATAAATCTTGTGCGTTCTTGTATCTTTTTTTTTTAACATAATTTTTATTGCTCTTGGTGATATATAAAATTATGAATTTTAATTCTTAAGAACATGCTAGTTTTATCCCGCCTACTTTACACATTGAAATGCATGATATGTATTGGCGGCCACTTTATATTATTATTTCATGGCACTTTTAGTGCTCGTTTGGCATGAAGTGGCGACTCCAATATTATTGGTGAGTTAGAGTGGTCATTGATCATTGACTGTCGACATTGCAATGACAAAATCATTTATTAATATTCAATTAAATAATATTAAAATCTCTTCAATCAATAAATGCACTAATTATATGTACGTTAAAATAAATTCTTCAATCAAAAAATAATATTAAAAAAAATTAAACATGGCGGGGACAAGGCGAGGACCCTGTTACCAGTACCCGCCCCATACCCGTCTCAGGGCGAAATTCATCAACATGATTATTCGATCGAGAGGGTAATCCCTGTCTCGGCTTATCAGGTTTAACGGATATTTTTGTCATCCCTTGTATTGTATTTGAAAATTGGAACATACGTACAGATCGAGTATTTTTAAAATCCTTTGGACCTAATATTTTAAAATCTATTTTGGAATTCCATTGATGCTAACCTCTGGGTTTAATGTTTGAGAGAGAGGCCCAAAACAAAGGCCCACTATTTAAAAAGAGAGAGAAAGGGCAAACCTCTCATCTTCTTCATAGGGGTTGACTGGCAAACTGTTCCACTTCTAATCTGTAAATTTCAACGGAATCAGCACGGGCAGCTGTGCCGATTCTCTAGGTGCTAGCTTTGCGGTTGTTGGCAAGACTTTTACTTCTACTTCTTGTAAAAGAACTTTTGAATGAAGTTGTCTTTATTTTTATCTGAAAATTAATTTTTAAAAGAGTTCATATTTCAAAGATGTTTTTAGAGGAAGCTACGTTAGACTACTTTCATCTGAAAGCTCTTCTAATTATAAGAAAAACTTTCACAAACTTAACCAAACGAGTACAAGCAATTTTTGAATCTCAAAAAGTCTCATTTTGATTTTTTAAAAATCACAGCAAATATATCCTTAGCTTTCCTCATTTGTCTTAACTTGAAGCATCATTTCAACAATGATGATTCCTCTACTTTACTCTAAAGGCACTGATTTGCTGTCTTCCTTTGAAGGGGGCAGACAAACGTATTTATGTCAAAAATATAACTTGGAGCTTGTAAAATGCTTTGCTATTGGGCTTCTCAATATTGTCAGCGTGCATGCATTTAAATAATCTTATTTCGTTCTATAATTGAATTATATCTTCCGGTGACCATAACAAAATATTTCCATGGAGCATGTTCGATAAGTTTAATTTGAAGCATATTGTTAATTTTTATATATGTTAGCTGAGTTAATTTTTTATTATATCAAGTAAGTAATGTTATATATTTTAACAATATTATAACTCATAAGACTTTATATAAACGTAACTTTGAGACTCGATCCGAGTAGCGACCTCGATGAAGAGGGTAGGTCACTGAGTATGTGGTCGAACCACTAACTTGATGGTTGGATCACGGGTAAAATCTTCTTAAACATAAAAAATAGTTTTAATTATGTAATAAAATAATAATTGTAATTGTTATTAATTAGATTAATTAATCCTACATTATCTTTCAATAATTAATCCAAAACTCAATAAATGAAGATTTTCAAGATGAAATAAAACAATTAGTTTCTTTTTCCTATTTTCTAATCAATTTAGAAAACATTTAAATTGATTAGATATGCTTATATTAAAATTTTTATTAATATGCTCAACTTTTACATTTTTGTTAGGATGAATCATGGGGAATAATATGATTTAGGATTAGAAAAGGGAAAAAACAAAAGAATACAAACGAGGTAAGGGACTGTTCAACTCCTATATGAAATACGGAAAATTTTCAATTAATAATTTCTTGCCGAGTTAATCAGTTTGAGTCAAAAACTCGACAAGGTTTTCAATTTTTAACCAGAACGGTCGTAGACCAATATAATTAATTTGTCCCCCGGGGCATAGTCCAGTGGTACAAAGGACAGGAGTGAAGTTATCTCACGCCTTGCTGGCAGTCGCAGTGTAGGGGTTCGATTCCTGAAACATGGAATTGGACTCTTTGTAGGCACAGTGTACAGACAGTTCTTGTTCCCTGACCTGATGGGGCACATTCCGCGATTTACCTCCCTCACAAAACTCTAGGGGCGAAGCGGTGAGGATCCTCAAGGTTCAACCTTTTTTTTTTAAAATTAATTACTCGGACTAAATTGATGATTGTGTCACAGACTTTTCGATTGAATCTTCTGGCTGACTCAGCCAATGCTGACTATATGTAAATCTACTTATAAGCAAAATTTTAAAGCTCACCCAAAAGGTGCCACAGCATATCCCTAAGAAGTTGGTAATTGTTCTATCAACATAATTCTGGGAAGTCCCACAAATTAGACTTTTCTTTTACTTTTCATTAAAGACAAATTATTTCAACTTGGCTACAGATATAAACGTCAACTTTGCATTAAAACGAAGAAAACTCCATTGGTAGAACAAGGACCTCTTGATGGTTACTATCAATTTTTTCTGGGCTTATGCATTGCATCCGCCATTTTTCTAAATGGTAAAAATGTCAAGCCACTTTATCGATCATGACTCGAATTCAATGGAGTTCTAATTTAACTACGAATATATATATTTTTTCGAATATAAATACAATAAAAATATATATATAAAAGCTAAAAAATCGTATAGAAGATTTTTTCTCAAATTTCAGTGGGAGCCTAGGATTGTATTGGCCGGTACTTGACTGCACCGATAAGCCATTTAATGCATTAAAAAGGAAAAAAAAGAGTACCAAATGTAATGTTTACTTAATTTAACGTAAAAAGCGATCCCAATTTTATATTTCATACAAATCAAAATCTATGCAATCAATCGAAATAATAAAATACCTAGTATATATTCATTCCAAAAGTGTAAAGAAATGATAAAAGATAGCAGTAAAGCCGTGCAAGGAAACCATTAAGATAAGTTTCAATTCGTTTTTTTAAGTAGAAAATGAAAACGAAGACCCATATTAATTCCAAAATTCCCCTAATCATATTTAGATTTAGATTTACTTAACGTATGGCATATGAGCATTTTGATTTATAGCATATTCTCAAAGGGGAGCCTCTCCATAAAGATGGATATTCTATAAATTATTCTTGTCTGCAATCCAACGTGCCCATGTAATATTCAATTGTACATCATGGGACCCACAACTCGAAACTACCATTTTACCCTTGCATAATCATGGATTACCATATTCACCAAAATTAAGGAAAAGAACACTTTTTTTTTGCCTTTTTTTATCTGGTGTTTTGTCTTTTTTTTTTTTTTTTTTAATTGTACTTTCTTGAATGTGCTTTTCAATTATATGAACAAGAACACAAAATGGTTAAAGGTTTGATGGTTAAAAATTATAATCTTATTTCAAATTGACAAACAATATTAAAAAGTATATGTATCTTAAAATAAACTGGTTGAGTCTTCTGTTAATGAGTTCTCATTTGTTAAGGAGCTCTAGCTCTTACTTGATCGGTTAATCCGACATATTTTATTTTTTCAATTTTATCAATTGTACAGTTTGTACTCAAGATTGGCAATATATTTTCTTGAGTATTTTATGTGTTTCATTAGAGGTTGATTTATGTTTCTCGTAGCTTTCTACGTGCTAAAAAACTTAAAATAAAAAGGGTTACAAATCTTTTTGTGACAATTTTTATTGCAAAATTTTAAATTGAATCCACAACTACAGGGGTAGTTTTGTCATTTTGCCCATTATTTTAACATTGAACTCCCTCAACCCCACTTGCCAAAAGTTGGCTGCAAAAAAACTAATCATAATTAAAATAATTAATCACACTTTTAATATTAATCCTCAAATCACATAAACCATCTCAAGACCATACAACCCAGTCAGATTGACGCCGTGTGTCAAAAAAACCTATAAATTACACGTGTCGCGATCTCAACCCAATTTCACCAAAATCTCATAAACTGAAGGGTCATCAGAAAGTTCCCATGTGCTACCCCCACCAACTATATTATGCTTTTACATAACCGCAAAAAATTGAAAAAATTTTCATTTCAAAGCAAACGAAAACTTCCTCTCAATTTCTTCACAAATCATCATCACATATATAAATACACAAATTCTTGTATTTGTATCCTGTAAGAATATACAAAAGGGATAATCTGAAATTGTGTTGAGTAATTTTCAGTTTAGTTTTGTTTGTATAATGTGATGTCGACAGAAAGGCTGATTGCCGGCGATCAGTTGCCTTCGTCGGTGCTTTCGTCGTCTCACTCAATCCGGTACGCAAGCGAACTAGGGAGAATTTTCGAGGAGCTGCCGAACGCCACCATCGTTTCGGTTTCCCGGCCGGATGCTAGTGACATCACTCCATTGCTTTTGTCGTACACCATTGAACTAGAATACAAACAGGTAAATTATATATTGTGTATAATTATACAATGTGCTTTTCATTTATGTTATAGTTTTTTGCTTTTCACATGCATTGTTACACACATCTGAATTTGAATGTGGGATGCATGTGCGTGAAAATAGTTTGGAGGCTTTGGTTTTTGTTTTTTCAATTGAATAAAATAATGAGATAGTTTCTCCTTATTCTGCGTGATTTAACAAGCTTTCAATATGTTAATCTCCTTCCACTGCTGCATCACGTACCTTTGCTTTCTATTTTGAATATGGTCAAGAGGGGCCCCTTTGTTGGGTCTGACAATTTTGGGGGAAAAATTGGAAAGAATGACGAGTTTAGAAAATTTGAGCAAGAAATTTAGTAGATGTTTATCAGTTTGGGTTGTTCAAATAGATTAAATTTTGTTGGAGGAATCAAATTAAGGATTATATTTGAAGCAGGAATTGTAATTAGACAATCTAATTATTAAAATTAGAGCTGGCTGGTTATCAACTTTCATGCTTATTTTTCCTGTATTGTGGTGATATATTATTGGATTGTCAATCACGGTATGCTGGCTAAAGCAAAGCATCCTTCATTTCCATGGGAATAGGGCTGCTTGTGGAATCGATTATATAAATATAATGTTTCGATATCTATTCTGGTTTATAATAGTTTTTGTTACGGGTAAGAGGGGGTGAGGGTGATGACGAGTTACTTATGGTATTTAGGTTAAATTTCGAAGTGTATCTGGAATTTAGGGTGATGACAAGTTAGATTTGGCTAATTCTAAAGTGTATCTGGAATTTAGGTCATGTAAGGTTAAATTTTAGTCATTTATTACCTAGAGGGGGGTTGAATACATTGTTTACACAATCTTGACCATTTTTTCAAATTTCCAACGTTTTTCTCTATTGTCAACATTAATGTATGCACGCAGCTGGAAGTAGACCCTAATTGAATGCATGCAGAACCGTGAAAACTTAATCATATAACTGAATTTGTTTTGGTGTTGCTAAACTCCCTTAAAAATATTTTTCAAGTTAAGAACAAATGAACACAACAAGAACATTGGCAAGATTTTCAAATTTCATGTGCCTAGCGATCTGAGCAACTTTCCTCAAACTAATATTGAAGCATAAGAAGAGGGGAAAAGAAGAAAATACCTAATAGATTTTTCTTGTGGATTTTGTCTATGTCTTGTGATGTGTGTTTTCTAAGTCTGTCCTCCTTCAATTCATAGAGTCAAGAAAATGTCTATGAGGTGAGTTTGGGCTCTACTTAGATGGGATTGAAATATAATCAAGATGGAATTATAGAGCTTAATCCAAACATATGATTCCATCATGCTTGTGTCTATGTGTACAATCAGTTTTCAGGTTTTTAAAATTGACTGCGCCAGATCAGTTTTTCAACAGAACCAAGACTCCTTTGATCCTAAGTTTAAGAACATGATTGGCATAATTAAACCTATTTATTCTGTTTTCTTCTTTAGTTTTAGGCTGTCTTTCTACCTTTAAAAAAAAAGTTCTAGGCTGTTTTTCTTCTTTGACAGTTCAAGTGGCTTTTGCTGAAGAAGGCATCTCAAGTTATTTATTTACACCTTGCGTTGAAGAAACGTGCATTAATTGAGGAATTTCATGAGAAGCAAGAACAGGTTCTCTTTCTCTTCTTTTTCCTCTTTGATGGGCAGCATCTCCTGCTGTACCTTTTCTCACTTCTATTTGTTGTTTTGTGGTTAACCATAGATCTTTGTTCTCGATTCTCTTTAATGGATTCAGACTTCATGCTTCTCGTAAATAGGCATACAGCTTATAATCTTTGTTTCTTTTGCTTGAAAAGATTAAGGAATGGCTTCAAAGCGTAGGATTAGGCGATGATACCACAGTTGTGCATGATGAGGATGAACCTGATGATGGAGCTGTGCCAATATCTAATGAAGATAGTGCTAGAAACAGGTGATTAGAATTTTCATCCTATGGATTTTGATACTCTGGTTTGGTTTAACTCATAAGAAATTTAGTCATCACAGAATATTGTATATGCAGAAATGTGCCATCAAGGGCTGCCTTGTCAATCATTCGTCCAGCAATCGGCAAGCAGCATACCATTTCAGACAAAGCAAAAGTTGCAATGCAAGGTTATCTGAATCATTTCCTCGGAAACTTGGACATTATTAATTCGCGAGAGGTGCAAATAAGTTAATTCCCTTCTCTGTATCTTATATTTATCTAACCAGGCAATGTTTATGAAGATCAAACTTATTCTTTTTCATCTGTTGGGCAACAACCCCAATATTTTTCTTTATCCTTTAAAATTTTAACTGTCACTGAGAGTTATTAGTATGGCTTCCCATGAAGTTAATTATCTTCTTGCCTGCTCAGAAAACCAGGTTGCCATTTTGTGGTTTATCTGATTATGAGATTTAAGAGACCAGGACTTATGAGTTGTTCTTATTTGGAAATTCCTACCGACTTTCCTTCCATCATAGTCACATGGTCAAAGCTTTAATTTGATACTGAAAAAAAAAAAAAGTTGAAAGCAAAACTCTCATGTCCAGAGAGTTCGTTATTTTTTCCTTATTAAAAAAAAAGGTAATGCGTGATGTGTCAAGGATATTATCAAGCAAGCTTATGAATGCCCCCTTAGTCATTGAGAGATCTTGATTATCTGCTCTGCGGCTACATATATTATTCTGAAATTTTGGTGGTAAAGAATAGGAGCAAACATGTTAATACCATGAAAACTCCAGATATTTTGCTTAATATCAATCTTTTGATGAAACAAAGGATGAATATTTTAGCATAAGAAACTCAATTCCACCCAATGCTGAACCAGCTATATCTGTAACCTTTAATGGTACAACACATTTGTTTGTCTTTAAACATATTCATCAATCGTTTTTATTATCACTTGGTTTAATTAAGTGAATATATGTCAATAATAGTTGCCTATGGACTTTCCTATGGTCCTGAAGTTTTTACTGCTGCTCAATTCTCATATTTATGTTGTGCTAATTGAAGGAAAGAGGGGTTGGTAACTACTGCTGATTTCAGGTCTGCAGGTTTTTGGAGGTCTCTAAGTTATCATTTTTACGAGAGTATGGTCCGAAGTTGAAAGAAGGTTACGTAATGGCAAAGCATTTGACTAAATTTTCAGAGGATGATCCCTGTTCAAGATGTTTTTCATGTCATTGGTGCAATTGTTGTAACAACACCTGGCAAAAGGTAGCGTTCTGCAGGGATTTAATGTTTCTGCTTAATGAATTGCATTGTGCTCCCTGCGATTCACTACAATCCTTCATGACTCATACATGTAGAAAATTTGCTGCTGCCATTAACCTGGACAAAGTTGCTAAAAGAATGACAACTAGCATTTAGTTTGATTTTTCCTATAGAGCCCTTTTTTCATGCCTTTACTAGAATCTGCATGGTAACCTTTTAGATGTCATGCTTTACCTACAAACTTTCCAAACTATCTGAACAAGGACATTGGCTAATAATTTTCCCATTCGTATACTTGGCCTTACACATTTGAGACAGTGGGATTCCATATTCAAATTTGAAGATTGGTTCCACTATATAATATGCTTATATGTTGACAATGACAGGCCTTCTTTTCTCACCTTCATTGATCCTTCAAAAGAAAATTGGATATCTGGGAGATCAACATTTCAGAATACTTCTTCTAGTCCTAGATATCAAGGCACAACGGTCCTAAACATAAGTTGTTAACTTCTAGAGAGGATTGAACTTTCCATCTTTCACTTATTGAAACTTATTTTGAAGAGGCACCATTTCCAGTAAATTGTCATCATCTTGAGTCATGTTATTACCGGCACATGTATTTTGCAACAAAGTTTTCTGCTTGCTAGAAGGATATTATTTTGATGAGCTTTATTCCTCCATTCTCTATAAGATTTTCATGCCAATTCCGAGGCTACATGATTGTTATTAACTTGCACTTAGGTTTGGCTCATCCTGAAACCTGGCTTCTTGGCTTTCCTGGAAGATCCTTTTAGCACCAAACTCCTCGATATAATTGTAATTGACATCCTACCTGCTTCAAATGCTAAAGGAGTTGAAGAATTTTATTTGGCTAAAGTGTTAAAGGGACGAAATCCCCTACGCCATGCATTTCAGGTCAGCATCCTCTTTTTCTTCCTCTCCCAATTTTCAACTTCTTGAAATTTAATATTGTAGGTGAAAGATGTTTGACAGTGTGTTTTATCTTGGTTTATTTTATTCGATTTATGACATGGTTTCTTGATATTTCATTCTTTGATTTCCATCATCTTGTACGGCATTAATTTCACGTAGTTTATTTGTTATCTAATTGCTCTACCTAAGCACTAATCTTGTATGGTCCAATTCATTCCCAATACATACCGTGAAAAAGGTTTTTGTGCAGCTTGGCCCCCATTCCCTCAACCTTTAGTCAAAATCATTTAGCACTATGATTATCTTCCTTTGTACCATGGATTTAAGAGCATATTTATCTGATCATTATATGCAATTCTTTTTCTTTGCTGTCGCAAATATGTTTTCCAAGAGAAGCTGAGGAATATGATATACTGAATGCATAGAGAGCGATATGCTATTCTAGGTTCATCATATGATTTTCAGAATGCATAGAGGGCCATCTCCACATGTAATTCTTGATTCATCAATATCTTTATTAACCAGCTACAACATAATTCTGTGTGGTATGTCTTAAACATCAGCTTGTTTACTTGAAAGCAACTAACATGATTGTCCTTTTTTAATATGGTCAAAAGGTTTCTTGCGGGAGTAGAAGCATAAAATTAAGAACTACGAGCGCTGATAAAGTGCATGACTGGGTTTCGGCAATTAATGAGGTTTTGAAACCTTCTGAGAGTTGGTGTCAGCCTCACCGCTTTAATTCTTTTGCCCCGACAAGAGGATTGGTTGAAGACGAAAGCCATGCTCAATGGTTTATAGATGGAAAATCAGCATTTGAAGCAATTGCTTCATCAATAGAGACTGCAAATTCAGAGGTCTGGTTATTCAACACTAGGAGTATAACTGATCATTTTTATTTGTTGACCATATTTAACTCCATAAGCATTCAACTAACTGGAATCTGTCTGCAGATATACATAACGGGGTGGTGGCTTTGCCCAGAATTGTACTTAAGACGCCCGTTTCACAATCATAACTCCTCTCGACTCGATGTTTTACTTGAGGCTAAAGCTAAGCAAGGGGTTCAGGTGCAAATGAAGAATATCTTTTTTTATATTTGAGGACCATGAAAATTAGTTTTCTTTTCAGGAATTCGTCCTGCTTTTATGAGTATTATGAGCATTCCCATCTTCTTGTTTATTTTTGTTATCTCAAGCAATATTCTACTGTTTTTTCTTCTTTCCTAATCGTTATAGACTATTGAATATATAATTATTTATTTTCAGTATCAGCATTTTTTTTGTAAATCAGATGATGGAAGATAGTATATCTGGAATAATATAAATCACAGGATTTTGGGTACAATTTAAGGAATCTATACTTTAAATGTCAATCTGAAACCATTCGTAACAAGGCTTTCAATATATTTCATGAAACTGAGCAACAAGAAGCTGCATCCAGTCACAACCCAGTTTTTAGCAAAACTAATTTCTAGATTCTTATCATGCAGATATACATTCTTCTTTACAAGGAAGTTTCTCTTGCTTTAAAAATCAACAGCTCGTATAGTAAGAGAAGGCTTCTTAGCATTCACGAAAATGTTAGAGTTTTGCGGTATCCTGACCATTTGTCAACTGGAGTTTACTTGTGGTATGCTGTTCATGAACCCAAAAGGAAATTCGTTTGAGATTAAAGTGGAGATATCCATTTATGAACACATTTAAATTTCTGTGGATTTTATTTTTGTTCAGATAACCTACTGAAAAATGTGTGGTACATGCAGGTCGCACCATGAAAAGCTTGTTATTGTGGATCACAAGATGTGCTTTATTGGAGGACTAGATTTATGCTTTGGTCGATATGACACAATTGAGCACAAAGTAGGTGATTTCCCTCCTTTTCTATGGCCTGGAAAAGACTACTATAATCCCAGGTATATTATTTTTTCATTAAGATGTGTAAGATCTGCAAGCAACTATTGAAACTTGGAACTGATAATGAGGTTCGATGAATTGGAATGTATGACATATTTTATGTCAAGATTGCTGTAGTTGAACTTCGATTGGTTGTTAATGGATTTAATAACAACACTACATCTGTTTTCATTTTAGTGATTTATAGACCATATATTACAAATTTTGATGGTGTCATATAAAACATATCCTAACTAAACAAATCCTAGCATCTTTCAGATACACCTACTAGGTAGGTAACTAAAAGCCAATTACTTTAATCACTATTGCTTGATTGAGGCTTATTTTCTCCTGAATAAGTAGTAGATTTGTAGGGCAGTCCAGTGTTTCTGATTTATGAAGTAACTCCATTTAATTGTGTAGAGAATCAGAACCAAATTCTTGGGAAGACGCCATGAGAGATGAAATGGATCGAGAGAAATATCCTCGGATGCCATGGCATGATGTTCATTGTGCTCTTTGGGGACCACCTTGCAGGGACATCGCTCGGCACTTCATTCAGCGTTGGAACCATGCAAAGGTTGAACTTTGATACTTATGTCTAACTCATGAAAAAATTTTAATCACTAATATATTTGAACATTAACCCAGAAAAGCAAGGCTCCAAATGAACAGAAAATACCACTACTTATGCCACATCACCACATGGTTTTACCGCATTACATGGGAAGAAGCAAAGAAGTAGACATTGATCATAAGAACTCTGAAGTGTGTCACAAAGACATCGGCTGGAAGGATTCTTTTTCATCCGAGTCGCCTCCAGAAGATGTCCCATTGCTTTTACCTCCCGAAGCAAATGGACCAGAAACTTCAGTTATGGAACATAAACTGAATTTTTTAAACTCAAATGAATGTCATGAAACTACGCTATATGGGCATTTTGAAGGTCTGTTATTTGCTTATCAGGAATATAAATGTGGCAATTCTCTCCCCGATATAAAAACAAGTGATTCTGCAGGTGATCATGATTGGGTAAATACCCAAAGTGAATCAATATTGGAAGCAACAGCATCTGAATTGCAAGTTAAGGATTATTGGTGTGAAACACTAGAACAAGGTTCTAAGTACGCATTGTCCAATGAACTAGCACAAGTTGGTCCGTGTACTTCATGCCGTTGTCAGGTAAGAATTTATCATTAATATTCTTGAAATTTATTTGGGAGCATTCGTGAGCTTTCCTTGATGTAGGAAGTTCTCTGAAAGTTATCGTTTGGTTTTTTACCCTATCAGACTCGGTTTTATGGCTGCTTATCCTAGAGATATGTTGTTGTAGTTTGAAGAGAGAGAGACTATTTTATTCTCAATTCACTGATAAATAATTCGTACAAACCTATACTGATAGGAGAACTCTGATTGTAGTCAACTTTGCAACTAGTGCAAATGTTTCTGTGTAATCTATGCCATATATTTGAGTATATCCCTTCGCAACTAGACGAGCCTTGTACCATTCTATTGTTCCGTCTGCTTTATATTTCATATTAAACACCTATTTGTACCCAACCAGTCTCTTTCCCTTTGACAGTTCCATCACATTCCAAGTTTCGTTTGTTTCCAAAGCCTTCATTTCATCCATTACTGCTTTTCTCCACTTAGGAATTTCCAGAGCTTCTTAAATGTTTTTTGGAATTTCTGTACTATCAAGGATAGAAACAAAGGTTCGATATTTTGAAGATAAAGCACTATAAGTAACAAATTTTGAGATAGGGTAAAGAGTGCATGACCGAGTTTGTTTCCTGAGAGTAATAGGTAGATCAGTGTCAGCAGGTTTTTGAGAAAGATCATGAGGATTTGGAGCTATCACCGGTTCCAACTCTTGTAGTGCTTTGAGTGTGAGTTTCTCATTATCCTTTGATTTTGGCTTTCTTGAGTAAACGATTTTCTCTTTGTCATGTTGTTTTTTTCGTTCTTCCCCTGAGTTCAAGTTACCTTCTGTAGATAGCATGTTGGGCCAAGCTAGTTTGCCTACTGAAAATGGATATAGTTCTTTTCATACATGGCAACACAATGCTTTTAGGGTGTGTTTGATAGGGTGGAATTCGAATTGGAATTGGATTTTCCAACTTTAGGTGTTTGATACATTTTTTCCATGGAATTCAAATTCTTGGTTTTTTTGAATTTTGGAGTTTTCTTAGTTTTTAAGGAAAACCAATTCCCACCATATCCCACGTATTGTGTATATATATATATATTTTTTTCTGCCAATGAAAACAAATTTTATTTCTAATTGTAAAAAAATATTTTCCTTTAATTGACAATTCTCATGTAAAATAAAGTCAAACAAACACCAAAAGATAGATGACTTTCTTGGCTTTTTTATTATTATTATTTTTTTGATAATGGAAACAAATTCTATCTCCAATACCAGTAAATTATATCCCTTAATTGACAATTTTCATGCAAAACAGAGCAAACGAACACAAAAAAAAAACACTTTTATTTCAACATTTTCCACGTGGAAAATTATATCAATCAAACACAATAATTTACAATTCTCAAAAAAACAATTTTAGGCCATTCAATTCTCTGAAATTCATTTTCTAGGCAATTCAGTTCCATCTTTACAATCAAACGAACCCTTGGTGAGGTTGGTTTCAGACCACAGTTCCAGAACCAGCAAAAGTGGGAAAATTGGGAATTAGAATTATTATAGGGATCTAAGAGAATTTTGGTTCTGTTGTGTAGGTCAAAAACCTTTGAGACCCAATTAGTGCAAGTTTGATATACAAAGTACTAGATAAAACTTGGTAATGTTAAGGAAAAAGAGAACTTAAAATGTTTTCTCATGTTTCTCGTGCCCTTTCTAATACTTGTATTCCAAACGTATTCTTCGCAATCTACTTATAATCAGAATAAAAGATAGAATTCTGAGTATCTTATGAAAGTTGAATTACATATAATGAGAAATTCTTGAAAGATAGAAGTAGAAAGTACAACTCAATATCAAGGAATAGAATCAAAATAAGTAAAAGTTGGCTAATCGAGCCTCGGCCATTGTAAATCCTACTCATCAAAAATCAACACCATCAAGATTTAGTATATTTAAATATAACATTTAGGGCCTACTTGAAGTTTCGGGTATAGATTATGTGCTTTTTTAAAGTACCGATTTTGAGGATTTATGAGTGGACGACCATTTTGAGTGGTTTAACGGTTTTTAAAATAGTCCATGTTTGAGAGTTTATCATTCATCGATTCTGAAAATTTTACAAAAGAATAAAATTATATATATGTTCCTTGATAAAATTTTCAGTTTATAGTTTCTTTTTAGTTTCTTTTATAAATATAAGTTAATATTTAGCTTAAAAAATAAGTTAAATATTTACTTAAAGTTTTAAGTTAGTATTTTTTACTTATAAGTAATCTTTATAATTATAAGTTAATTTTGTACCTTTTAATTAACTTTGAGACAAGCGATTTTTTTTACTTATTAGTAACTTTTTGTATTTTATAAGGATTTTTTTATCTTATTAGTAGTATTTCACTTTATAAACAAATTTTCCCAAAGTTTTTTTTTTAATTATAAGTAGTATTTTACTTAAAAGTAGTTTTTATAATTATAATGTAATTTTCTTGCTCGTAAATAATTTTTTAGTTAATATGTTTTTATTTACAAGTTAATTTTGGAATAATTATTTTATAAGATGCAACATTCAACTGAAGAAACAATACCACCAGCCATACTAACAACATTTCTACGCTAGATGATTTGGAGTTAAGCCCATAATTCACAGGATCAGTGGTCATCTCAGCTAGACTGATCTCGAAAGATATTTCCCATATAATTAATAACAGTTATATTGCAATATTCATCTGCTCTTCAATCCTAGTTTAATACTTTTTTTAATGCAGGTTGTCAGAAGTGTCAGCCAATGGTCTGCTGGAACAAGCCAAACTGAAGACAGCATTCAAAGAGCTTATTGTTCTCTAATTGAAGAAGCAGAGAACTTCGTCTACATTGAGGTGAATTTATATATGAATGCATGCCTTCATTACATCTTTGGATTTTCAACAATGTTATATCATGTGTTCCTGAAAATGAGCCTTGTTCAAGAAAATATATTTGGATGGTTAGGCTTGATGAAGTCAAAATTTAAATAAGTAAATTTGTTCCTCATCTAACAGTTTAAGCTTTCAAATATTGGATATATGGCATTAATTTTATGTAGCTTACTAAATTTAGAAATTCAAGTTACATCAGTTTAAAGATCTTTCTTTTTGTAATTTCTGTTAGATTATCTTCTTATTACTTTTACCACCTGAATCATCAATCGGCTTAGTTAAGAATTTACTAATATTTTTCGTATATCATCTGGTACTTGCAGAATCAATTTTTCATATCAGGACTTTCAGAAGATGAAGTCATACAGAATCGCGTACTTGAATCATTATATAGTCGCATAATTCGGGCATACAGAGAAAGAAAGCGCTTCAGAGCTATAATTGTCATTCCACTCTTACCCGGGTTTCAGGTGGTGATTCTCTATTCTGTTTTGAGAATTTTCCATTGGGTTTATCTTTCTTTTTTCAATACATACTTCTGAGTAAATAGGGGGGTGTGGATGACAGTGGTGCAGCTACGGTCAGAGCCATCATGCATTGGCAATACCGTACCATCTGCAGAGGAGAAAGTTCAATACTGCAAAAACTTTGCTCAATGTTGGGGCCAATAGCACATGATTTCATATCTTTCTATGGTCTAAGAACATATGGTAGACTTTTTGATGGTGGTCCTCTGGTTACAAGTCAGGTAACATTTCAAATCTTCCACAAGCTTTCGGAAGTTACTACGACAAATTACTGTGTAAATTTCTCGCTCATGATGCAAAATAGTATGTTAGTCATCTTCGATAACCAGTAAAATTTACGCAAGTTGAAAAAGAGCCAGTACGGAACAGAAGCAATATCCTAACATTATCCTTCTTCCAAAAACTTTTCCTCTTCCAAACTTGATTTGCAAGGCTCAACACGTGCATGATTTTATTGCTGATGTTTTTGCTCGCCCTTTGAAACTGGAAAGTAACTAATTGTCTTTATTCTAAATTAATTTAATTTGAACTACGTGTCTTTTTCTCACACAGGTTTATGTACATAGCAAAGTGATGATAGTTGATGATCGTTGTGCTTTGGTTGGATCATGCAATATCAATGATAGGAGCTTGCTAGGATCAAGAGACTCAGAGGTAAAATACTTACCCTCTTGGTTGGATATGTTTGACTGCTTTCTTTTATCCAACTTACAGAACGGTATAGACTATGTTGCATACCATGAGATCAAAGTTATAAATGGATGCAGAGTCATCTTTCTACACATAGTTGTGGAAAGCTTAGTCGTATCTCCACCTAGCCTCAAGACATGAGAGAACCCTTGTAGACTTTTTCTCCAATATAGTGAAATATGCAGTGGCCGGTAGACATGGCTCTCACAATGGGAGATAACCACTACAAATCTTTATGTGTTTTTGCTCATTTTCTGATTGCTTTTTTGTTTATTAATACACACAGAAGGGATTGGGGCTTAATCCATAACATGATGCAACCGAATTGTAGTCAAGTGCATTTTGTTTCTTAAGAAAATGTGATAACTGATGTGTTAATTTCAGGAAAGAAGGTTCGCAAATACAATATCTACCCAAGGACCTGTAATCTATGTCTCAGTTGACATTTGAGGATTTAACAGGCCCATTTTTAATATTGAGGTCAAATGTTGGGGCAACATTGATGTTGATTTACAATTACTCGCTGGATTCTTTAAGATGATAATATCTTTAGAGAACCTTTTTCTGTGAGAACTAGAACTTGGATTTCCATATATTACTCTCGTGTTACCAGCTAAATGCTCCAAAACCCTATTATTAACAAGGAACTCTTATCTGATAAAAATTCTTTGAAATTTTAAAAAATTTGAAATGAATTTTAATGAACTATGCTATATAAATCAGTATATATGAAGTTTTGCTCCAAATTTTCAACTGTCTTTCATCTTGCTCACTCCTTCTTCCTACTCGATGACTTTTCTATTACCTCGTTAATTTAACCATTGATTGGTGGATTTCTATATATGACATGTTATATTCAGATTGCGGTCTTGATTGAAGATACGGAATTTGTTGGATCATCAATGAACGAGAAGCCTTGGAAAGCTGGAAAATTTTCTTTAAGTCTTCGACTTTCATTGTGGGGAGAGCACCTTGGCTTAAACACTGAAGAGGTGAGTACAGTCACAAAATGGTTAAATGTCTGTTATTCCTTGCCTCTAAATTTCACTCCCTCTTCTCCAGCTTAGTCGAATAAGAGACCCTATAGCTGACTCTACATTCAAGAATTTGTGGGTAGAAACTGCAAAGGCAAGTAGTTTTCGAACTTCATATCATTTCACAACACGTCATTTTGAGCTTTCTGCTGTTCTCTCTTGTTTTTAATTATTCTATTCTTGCACGAATCTGAAGATCAGATCTATATTTGGAACGGAAAAATGTTATCATTACTACATCTAATTTACTTCATTTTCGTCTCTCCCCTTTTACTGAGCAGCTTTATTATCCCTTTTGCAGGCAAATACAAAAATTTACCAAGATGTTTTCTCTTGCATCCCCAATGACCTCATACATTCCAGGTACATCTTTAGGAATCTGTATTCTCATTTTATGTCGTATTTTCCTCTATGCTTTTGTCTTATATTTTTCAACATTTTTATTAACTGCAGATCTTCACTTAGACAAAGCGTTAGTCATTGGAAACAAAAACTTGGGCACACCACTATAGACTTAGGAGTAGCTTCTTCAATGCATGAATCCCATCAGAATGGGGAATCTGTAATTATCGACTCATTGACAAAGTTAAAATCTGTAAAAGGATTTCTTGTTTCTTTTCCCTTGGAGTTCATGAGTCAAGAACAAGATCTCAGACCAATGTTTATTGAAGGCGAGTTTTATGCATCTCCACAAGTGTTTCATTGACACGGGTATCATGGAACGATATCATCGTTAGGACTTGGATAAGAATCTATAACATGCTGGAATGCTGACAGTGTAGGATTCTCTGGAAACAAATTATGAGTGTAATTAGTTCTTGCTGATGATTCTTTACTCGGATAGCATCTGGGGTTCCTTGAACAAAAATACGAATGGATTTAGAATTTACAGTTTCTAGTGATGGCAGATTAAAATACCGATTGATAGATGTATAGGACATTGTTGTATTTGAAACTATTGAGTTCAGAATTGAACATAAAGAAATGGTCTATTGAAGGAAAAAATTAGAATTTAAGAATGTAATTCAACACAGTAAACTTTGGTCATTCATTCAGTTCTCGGTGTATATTTTTTCAATAAACTTTGTGCGGATTCAGTTCCATTATTTGCTTGCAAACGGAATTATGAACATTTTGTTAGTTTAATTTTAGCCCTTCGAGTAAATTTATTTTTACTCGTGACATTTTGAAATAAAAGATAATAATTTGATTTTCCAATAAATTGTGCTTGCATTTCGTTCATGGATCAACTTGATATTATAAATTAAGTGTTTAAGTTGTTAAACACAGAAAAATTTGATTTATAATTCGATCTGAAATTTATTGTCCACAATCGGTAAATAAAGACGAACACTTTATCTTGATAAGATTGTCTCAATTTTATTTAAAGTTGATCTTGACTTTAGCAATAAAATTGATTGTACATTTTGGAATGTATTGGACTAGACCACGTGAAATTAATTTATGGAATTGACCACTTGAATTTAATTTCACTTGATTGTTGTATGTAGTATCTTAATTCTAAGCAAATAATGAACTTTGATTACTTACTTGAAATTTTTTGAGGTATCAATGAGTGAGATTAAATTGCTAATCGAAATCTCGATACCTTGGGATTTAAAGTGAAATAATTAGAGAACATATATTCGCAATATGGAATCCGTAACCTATATAATAGGCATGATCATGACCTCAAGAGATTTTATAATGAATAGTTAAATCTGAGCTCTGTAATTCGACGTGATTGTTGAATTAATATTATGATATGATCACATGGAACTGTTAAATAGAAAATGGGATTGAGGATTTAATGTTTATTTGGAAAAGGAGCATTTTGGTCATTTCACCCAGTTCCAAATATTCAACGTGATTAACGGGGGTAATACGTAAGAGAGATTTGTCAGAGGATATAATTATTGTAACTTCAATAATTTCAATTAAATTAAGAGTGCAATCACCTTTTTTTAGTAGGATAGAACTTGATTAATAAATTATCTAGACTGATCAAGAGTTGATCGAGTCAAGATTAATTTATTGGAGCTTGATTTAATTGGGTAAGTTTGGTCCCTTCAATGGCTTCAAAAATTAAGAACCGGAATAAGTTATAAGAGTTATAATTTATTATTAACTGTAGAAATATATATAAATAAATTAAACCAAGATGTGTCAAGCATATGCCAAGTATGTGACATTTAGATATGGTGGTTATGATTTGGATAAATACAAAAAAAATTCCTTTTTTGTTGAAGACTTTTATCCAATCAAAAGATAGAATTCTTTTGGGATTGAAAGTTTTGTGAATCAAACCCATATATATAGACACGTACATTCTCTTATGGGTTTAATTAATATATGAAAAATAAAATTCTTGTGCCCACACACAAAAAGAAAAATCTTTACAGTTATTTTTGAGTTCTTGAAGAACACTGGAAAAAGTCAAAGGGTTTGAAGGAGAACTAAGAAAATCAAACGAGGCTTGAAGGTGGAATCAAGGAGATCAAAGATCAAAACGATTTTTTTAAAGCACGCTACAAGGGTAACTTTTAAAACACTTATGTGTTAACTATGTTCCATTTTATTTAATTTTTGTAGACATACAATTTAATAAAATGTGTTGTATTCTTCCAACAATTGGTATCAGAGCCATGGTTTTGATATTATTTTGTGTATCAAGAATTAAATAATTTTGGATTATGCATGTGTTAGTAAAGGGCGGTGTTAGGATTATGTGATTTATTTAGTTATTGGATGAACGATATTTTTTTATTGAACAAATTTATGGCCTTAGAGTTTTGCGGTGATTATGTATTGTTTGAATCGAGTCATGTAACAAAGGGGGTGGATTACGACTCCATGTTTTCCCCTTTGATTTTAATTTTTTGCAAAAGAGTTAGGGTTTGTTTATTTATGTGGTCACTGCTGTAATTATGTAATAGAGGATCTGTTCTGTAATTATGAATCAGAGGACTTAAGCTGCAAATTCAGATCCAAGGACCAAACTTCATCTTCTCCAACGAGTTGAGAGACCTGCTTGTAAAATCAGTAAATAAAAAAGAAGGGGGGGGGGGGGGGGAATAGAACAGGGCAGAAGAATGGACGGCTTACTGGAGACGGTGGGCAACACCTGCTGGCGCCGCGACTCGGGTGGAGAAGCAGGGCACTCTAGTGCTGCCGCTTTGCGTGAAACGGGGCGGCACAGTGATCTGTCGTCGCTTCTCATGCAGAGGCAATGGCGCTTTCGGGCTCTGCTGCTTCACCTGTGTGGGAGGAAGGCAGCAGCGATCTCGGGGTGGCGTATCGGTGTTGATGGTGATGGCTTGGTTCTTTCCGGCGCTGATTTTGGAGAAACAGTTGTCTTGGCTGAGAGTTATTTGGGCCAACTATTGAAATGGACCAGGTGTTGTGTTGAGCCTGGAATTGTGAAATGGGCTATAATTAATAAAAGTTGGGTTGAGCCAATTTTTTTTAGAAGAAATTACACCGTCCCAGGGGTTTTAAGTTTACTGTGCGTAAATCAGAGGCCCAACTTTTCTAGTCAAATCTCTAGTATCAGGTTAATAAAAAAATTAATTATTTTAAGTAAGCTCGTTTTTGTATTTAACGTGCTTCAAATATTTCTTCCTTTTTTATCAAACGAAACTATCCTTAAACTTCTCCCCACGATTTCTGAAAACCACTCCGGAAGTTACCCACCCCATGTATATTTTTGGTTAGTTATCTCACTCCGGCCTGTCGAGGAACGTTTGTTCGTCACATACCCAAGTGAATTGATTACATTCTTCGTCTATCCCATCATTTCGTCTGATGTTATTTTTAAACCTTTGTATTTACAGTCGATGAAAAATGACTAAACCCAAGATTTTCGAAAGGGCAATAAACATCCATGCCACGCTAGAAAGAAGAGGAAAGAGGAAGCATGAGGAAAGCCCATCTGAAAAAGCATGCGGCATCGCCTGTGACCCCGCAGAAAGGCCAATTGAACATGGTATATTGATTTTTATGTTCTTTTAATACATTAAGTGACAAGTATGTATTGAAAAATCATTGCGTGATATGTATTGAAGATCTATGGCCTTTAAATCTGTTCAATTCGTTTCGTGATTGGAATGGGGTAGGGTTTACAATTTTGAACACAGAATGTTTTGATCATTGGAATTTCGTTTACGATGTTATGAATAATCTGTTGTCTAATCACGAATACTCAAAATGTGACCATAATATGCAAAATGTGACTGTAGATCTTGGGAATCTGTGACGTGAATGCATATCGATATGACTGTCTGTGACCTTGCTGGAATGGGGAAAGTGTTTTACAGATATGAATATTATGTTTTATAACCATGAAGACTTTATATGTAGATGTGACCGAAATTTGTTGGGAATCTGTGACCTAAATGAAAAGACTTTGTATGCCTATGAGCTAACTGTTAACATGGTTGATGATGTGTTTTAGCCATACGATGTCCATGTGTGACCATTTCACCTATATGTGCCTAAGTGGTCTCAATGCAAAGACTTACACATGTACATGTCCTAATTGTATGGCTAAATGTGACCATTAAATCCATATGTGACACAAGTTTTTTTGTGAACATATGACCATACCAGGTGAACGTGACCTTAAACTTGAAGAGTCATTATTTCATTTTCTCTGCATCTGAATTACAATACAAGTATTTAACAATTTTATCATTATTAATGCTTCATGTACGTTTGACAATTCAAAATACCCAAAAAAAAGTTGGTTTCCTGGCAAGATTACAACCTCTGTGTACAAGTCTGTTCTCACCACCATACAATCAAAGTTAAGCCTACGAGGGGGAAGGGCTTGTTATAGACTGAAAATTGCAGCCTATGAGGGAAATGGCTTATTATAGACTGAAAATTGGATTTAGAGTTATTAGTGAAGACAAGAATTTAGTTTGTAAATGTTATGAATATTGCATGTGTCTGGTCAATAGAGGTTCTTGTAATGAATAGTAACTCGTAAGCTTTGATTTGCAATAAAGAATATTAACCTGTTGAAGTTCATAATTCATCGATCTTCGATTACATTTTAATGCTATTTTTCATATATATGGTGTAAATTTTACAGGTTCTTTATTTATGATAGTGTCACGCAGTTGGTGAAACATGTCACATGATACAGTAGATAGGTCACAGTTAGTTTATCAACCTGGTCACAGATTCATATATCACGTCACATATAACTTTTCATACGACACACGTGGTCTAGACCTCATATCACAGATGTCTATGAAACAAACTACAAAGTTTCAAACTTAGTTTGCCAATCAGGTTACAGATTCACAAATCAGGTTACATATAACCTTTCATACCACACGTCACATGTCACAACACATGGGTCACAAATTTAGGAATCAGTTTACTCATATGTGTCCACACTTCAGGTCACATATTTTCATTTCAGGTCACACCTCTGTTCTCAGACAGTTATGAATCAGACTATATAGTTGACAGAAGGTTCACATTTAGTTTGTTAATTAGGTTACAGATTCACAGTTAGTTTGTCACACGTTAAAACACACAAGTCACAGATTTGGTATCAGGTTACAGATGTGGTTCAAATCTCAAAGAATTATTATTCTGACTCCAAAGTTGACAGGGAATTAATTAGTTGATCAATCTAAATGCATTCTGCAAAGAGATTATTTTAAGTGAACATTATTCTCAAAAAAATATCATCTATCTATGTAATATTTTTTGTTATTCTCTCAGTCATTTTAGTCTAATGGAGCCAAACTGGAGCATCTCCTACGGTTGTGACCATGTCCTCCACAACGTTCGCATTTTACCGTCAGTCTTCCTTCTTTGGATGATCTTTACCTTAGCGACGTCAACGATTAACGAATATTTACTAGGTTCACGCCCCATAACTTTCAGCAGAATGTATGATAGCACATTATTGTCATTTTTTTATCCTGATGGGAGGCAAATCTTTGTTCAGTACATACTTCAATGACACTGCTACCTTCGTAGGATCCAGACCAAATTCTGTCATAACCGTGTCCACAGGGATTAAACAACTGCAGTTGCGAGCTACAAATGCCAATGAGGATTGCAATCCATACAATAAACATACGTGCAAGTA